TTGTGAAAGAAAATCTCTTGAATCAATAAGTTAATTGAGTTTGAATCAGTCAATAGTTAATCACAAGTCTTCGTGGGAACGATACTCTACTCACTACTTTATTACTTGACGATCACGTGCACTTGCGTGAGTGTTTTTGGTCGCAACAGTATTGACACGTACGCGCGCACCTTGCCTTGGAGTCACCGGAGATCTTTTTCCATTAGCCATGATGCCCTATGAAGCGGTACACCTTCCCATGTCACAAGGTATTGGTCACCTTTCTTTTTGACCCGTTTGTACTTTGGACGGCTAGCAATGATGGCCTCGATCCTCCGCCCATCTGATGCCGCTCCTTGCTCTCAGCCTGAATCTCCCCATGAGTCGACCGAGTTTAGTAGCTTCTCAAGCATCGGGTCTATGCTTGCACTCCCTATTTGGCTGCCCACCGTGGTCATAGCCTTGCTAGCAAACTTGACCCCTCTGCTCGGTGCATCATCTATGTCCGATAACATGCCATCACTTTGTAACTCGCCATCCTCTTCAACTATGTCCGCCCAACTTTTCTTGTTGCCACCATACTCCATTTGTATGGAGACAAGATAGGCTTTGGAATACCCTACTTCTGGCTTAGATTTTAAGTGCATCCCTCTAATACAGGCGGTTTCTCCTGTGTCACCCTTATGTGCTTGAGCAAAGTTCCCGATCATCGCTGCAAGCTTCCCCAACTCTGGGCATTCACTTGCCCGATGTGATCCTTCACAAAAGTAGCACCCTCCCTTAGGCACGTACTCACTACCGTTTTCAGGCCCCTTGCTATTTCTCTTAAATCCTTATCCGTTATGGGATGGCCCTTTGCCGTTGCCCTTGTATACGTCGGCTATGCCTTTCCCGTTGTCCTCGTCATGATCTCCCTCATCCTCTCGGCGTTGCCTTCTTTGGACTTGGCAGGCTCCATTTTGAAGTCAACAAGTGACTTGGCTACCCCTATGGCTTTGTTCACATTGGCTACTTGATGTCTTCTTAACTCCTGCTTTGCCCAATTTTGCAACCCATCCATGAAGTAGAAAAGGGAATCTTCCTCGGACAATGACGAGATTTACAACATTAAGGTAGTGAACTCGCGCACATACTCCCAAATTGTGGCCTCTGTCGGAGCTCCCTTGGCTTCCCCCTAGCCTCATATACCACATTCAACGGGTAGCATTGCTTCTTCAACTCCTTCTTGAACTGCTCTCACGTCTCAATCTTGCATAGCCATTTTTTTCCATGATGGCAAACTTCAGACACCACCATAATGCGACAACCTCGGTCAAGTACATTGAAGCATTGCGTACCTTAACAACGTCGTCATCCTCCTTGACTACCTCAAAGTACTTGTCCATCCTCCAAAGTAAGGTTGTCTCCTCACGTGCGTCCCGTGCAGCGCTATACTGCTTTCGCTTAGGGACCTTCATGTTGGTCCCTTCTGCAAGTACCAAGCCCTTGGTAATTCCGACCATGGTTCCCTACAAAAGCTTCCTTCTAGCAATCTCTTTTATTCTTTCTAACATTCCTTAGTCATAACCTTTGCTCTGATACCACGTTGTCACGTCCTTAGTCATTTACTAAGTACACGTGCGGCACCTGACAACTCGCTCACGATTTTGCACAACTTGCTCATGTTCTTCCTATGCCAAGTCTGCCTTACTATACTAAAGATCGCTAAGGGAATGTTAGATAAGAAAGACAAGAGAAATTTGCCAAAGGAAGTTTTTGTATTAGAGAGAACTTGATTGTCTTTCTTGATGAATTACAAATGAATGGCTCCTTTGATATACTAGTCTCCTTGGCGCTAGTATGTAAATATTAATTGTTACAAAAGTCCTTAATATTTACAAGAAAAGGGCTTTCTCTAGAATTCTCTACAAGCCTAGAAGATTCTAAGGACTTTCGTAGAAATTCCATAGGATTCTAAGGTCTTCCATGAGAAATCTCCATATTTCTCTAGAACCTTCCCACATGTGCTAGTATATTTCATATGTAAGATTTCCATATGGAAAAAATATGTGCCAAGTGGCACCTACGTGGCATGATGATGTGGCGGGCCATGACACTCTCCCCCACCCAATTTTGGGCCTCCCTCGACACAAAGTATCGACACGTACGTGGCACCTTGCCTTGGCATCGCCGGAGATCTTTTTCCATTAGCCATGATGCCCTATGAAGCGGTTCACCTTCCCATGTCACAAGGTATAGGTTACCTTTCTTTTTGCCCCGTTTGTACTTTGGACGGCTAGCAATGATGGCCTCGATCCTCTGCCCATCGGATGCCTCTCCATGCTCTCAACGTGAATCTCTCCATGAGTCGACCAAGTCTAGAAGCTTCTCAAGCATCGGGTCTATGCTTGCACTCCCTATTTGGTTGGCCACCGTGGTCATAGCCTTGCTAGCAAACTTGACCCCTCTGCTCGGTGCATCATCTACGTCCGATAGCGTGCCATCACTTTGTAACTCGCCATCCTCTTCAACTATGTCCGCCCAACTTTTCTTGCTGCCATCATACTCCATTTGTATGGAGCCAAGATAGGCTTTGGAATACCCTACTTCTGGCTTAGATTTTAAGTGCATCCCTCCAATACAAGCGGTTTCTCCTGTGTCACCCTTATGTGCTTGAGCAAAGTTCCCGATCGTCGCTGCAAGCTTTCCCAACTCTGGGCATTCACTTGCCCGATGTGATCTTTCACAAAAGTAGCACCCCCCCTAGGCACGTACTCGCTACCGTTTCCGGCCCCTTGCTGTTTCTCTTGGACCCTTGTCCGTTATGGGATGGCCCTTTGCCATTGCCCTCGTATACCTCAGCTATTCCTTTCCCGTTATCCTCGCCATGATCTCCCTTATCCTCTCGGCATTGCCTTCTTTGGACTTGGCATGCCCCATCTTGAAGTCAACAAGTGATTTGGCTATCCCTATGGCTTTGTTCACATTGGCTACTTGATGTCTTCTTAACTCCTGCTTTGCCCATTTTTGCAACCCATTCATGAAGTAGAAGAGGGAATCTTCCTCGGACTATGACGAGATTTACAACATTAAGGTAGTGAACTCGCGCACATACTCCCGAATTGTGGCCTCTGTCGGAGCTCTCTTGGCTTCCGCCTAGTCTCATACACCACATTCATCGGGTAGCATTGCTTCTTCAACTCCTTCTTGAACTGCTCTTACGTCTCAGTCTTGCATAGCCCCTTTTTCCCATGATGGCTAACTTCCGATGCCACCATAACGCGACAACCTCGGTCAAGTACATTGAAGCATTGCGTACCTTAACAACGTCGTCATCCTCCTTGACTACCTCAAAGTACTTGTCCATCCTCCAAAGTAAGGTTGTTGCCTCACGTGCATCCCGTGCACCGCCATACTACTTTCGTTTAGGGACCTTCACGTTGGTCCCTTCTGCAAGTACCAAGCCCTTTGTAATTCTGACCATGGTTCCCTACAAAAGCTTCCTTCTAGCAATCTCTTGTATTCTTTCTAACATTCCTTAGTCATAACCTTTGCTCTGATACCACGTTGTCACGTCCTTAGTCTTTGACTAAGTACACGTGCAGCACCTGACAACTCGCTCACGATTTTGCACAACTTGTTCATGTTCTTGCTATGCCAAGTCAGCCTTACTATACTTAAGATCGCTAAGGGAATTTTAGATAAGAAAGACAAGAGAAATTTGCCAAAGGAAGTTTTTGTATTAGAGAGAACTTGATTGTTTTGCTTGATGAATTATAAATGAATGGCCCCCTTTATATACTAGTCTCCTAGGCGCTAGTATGTAAATATTAATTGTTACACAAGTCCTTAAAATTTACAAGAAAAAGGCTTTCTCTAGAATTCTCTACAAGCCTAGAAGATTCCAAGGACTTTCCTAGAGAATCTATAGGATTCTAAGGTCTTCCATGAGAAATCTCCATATTTCTCTAGAACCTTCCCACATGTGCTAGTATATTTCATATGTAAGCTTTCCATATGGCAAAAATATATGCCAAGTGGCACCTACGTGGTATGATGATGTGGCGGGCCATGACATTTTGGTCCCAAAGGTTTGTTGATGTCTTTACATATATCCCATGGAACCATTTAACCCACAAAGACTCTTTGCACATAAGCAGCTGCCATATCAATTTTCCTACTGAAGTTATGTTCCAGGTTCTGCTTCCTTTAATGTTCGCCCCCCCTATTTTCTTAGGACAACTTTTCCACAAGCTACCAATGGTATCTTCTTCTTCTTCTTCTTCTCCTCTGAACTTCCCCACAAGTAATCCTTGCATTTCTTATCCACCTCCTTAAGTACACTTTGAGGGAGGATGAATACTGTACCCCAGAAGTTGTGTATTGAGAAAAGTACTGCAGTAATGATTTGCAATCTGCCTGCATATGATAATTGCTTTGAATATGTAACTTTTATTCTCTGCATGATTTTCTCCACTAACACATGAAAATCCAACTTATTCTACTTTTTAGGAGAAAGAGCAAGGCCCAAGTATTTGATTGGAAGTTTTCCAAGAGTGAAGCTTGTTTTGGCCAGTAGTGTTTCCTTTGTGCTATCATAAAAATACTAGACTTCTCCATGTTTGCAACTAATCCAGTGACATTACTAAAGTGATTGAGTGCCTCCGTGACTCTATTTACTAAGCTTTCATTCCCTTAGCAAAAAATCATCAAGTCATCCGCAAAGATTAAGTGAGTAAGTTTCACAGGCTTGCACGTAGGATGATATTTTTAAATCTGGTAGCATACTAACAGTCTTCAGCATTCTTGATAGATACTCCATTATAATGACAAATAGTAGGGGAGAGATAGGATCCCCTTGCCTAAGGCCCCTCTTTCGCGCAAAGATTTTCTCCATTGATCTTGACTGAGAACCTGGTTGTTGATACACATATCATAATCCACTTGATGAATTTATCTAGAAACCAAAATCCTCTTAGTGCTTCTTCAAGAAATTCCCAGCTAACCATATCGTATGCTTTCCTTAGGTCTATTTTCATAAGTCATCTAGGAGATATCTTTCTATTGTAGTGTCTCAAGATGTCATGACATATTAGGACATTGTGTAACATGGACCTCTCCTGGACAAATGCTGATTGATTATCTGCTACCAGTTGGTTCACAACCACTTTCAGTCTATTGCAAATCAACTTAGATATGCATTTGTACAACACATTGCAGCATGATATTGGCCTATATTGGCTAGCTTCTTCCGGGGCTTCCACCTTTGGAATAAGTGCTATTACAGTTGAATTGAGCTGTTTAAGAAAATGTCCATTCTGAAAAAATTCTATCACAGTTGCTGTAACATCCCATCCCACAATCTTCCATGCTGCCTTGTAAAAGCCACTACCATACCCATCTGGACCAGGGCTTTTATTACCATCAATTTGAAATATTGCTCCCTTCACTTCTTTCTCTGCAAAGGGCCTTACTAATGTGATATGTTTCTCAATAGTGAGAACATGGCCATTCCTCAGAATGCTTTTTAATGCTGGCACTCTAGTATGTGCTCTCCTTCCCAATAATTGCTCATAGTAATTGATAAATAGTCCTGCAATAACTTCAGCATCTGTCTGCCAATTTCCAGTTGAGTCCTTTAATTGTGTAGTTGCTTGTTTCAGTTTTCTATGCCTTATTACTGAATAAAAGTACCTTGTTCTATCATCCCCTAATTTTATCCATGTAGCTTTACTTCTTTGCTGTAAGTAAATTTCAGCCAGGTAGGAAGTCTGTCTGAATTTTGCATATTCCTGAGCCTCTATTTGTTGATGAGCTGCACTTGTTGGATTTCTCTGCAACTGTATCTGAGCCTGCTTTAGTCCTTTTCTATCCTCATCAGCTTCTGCTACAATTGAGTGACCATATTAAGTTCTAAGAGTCTTGATCTTCTTCTTTAGCAATTTCAGTTTCCTCACTACTTCATACATTTTGCATCCTTCAATTTTTGTATTCCAACAATAGCTTCAAATTGTGGACGTTGAGTCCACATATTGCATAAAAGAAAAGACTTCTTTACTTTGACTCTTTAATTAGCCAGAGTTACTTTAATAGGGTAGTGATCACTTATACCTTCAGGTAGGAATTGAGCCTACATGCTGGCATTAGGTCCAACCACTCCTTATTAATGACCACCCAATCAATTTTTGAAAACACTCTATGATCCTCATGTTTGTCATTCCACGTATGTCTATTACCTTGAGCATGTAATTCCAATAATCCACTTTCATCTACCCAGTTGTGGAAATCAACTATCTCTGCCTAGGTATTGTCGCGCCTCATTTTCTCGCGAAAGCGGGCTTTGACATGTTATAACTCTTTTAAATGGGAGATAGGGTGTTAAAAGAAGAGTCACCACCTAACGGGTTTTAAGGTGCGTTAGGGCACCTATTATGCAGATAACTCTATTTGACCAGTTAACGCCACCAAAGATCGGGTAAGGGCTCAAATTACCTCAAAGAGAAGGTGTTAGGCACTTTTTGAGGTCCACAACTGTGGGTCCCGACCGAACTTAAGTCTATGTGGCTTATAATTAGGCAAGATAAACAAAGAGGGTACGGGTCAAAAGAATTTATTATAACACAATGAGAAAGAGGATTACAAGGATATAAGTACAATAGTATGTATTAAATGACTGCATGAATAAAGAAGAGATGGGGGGGGGGGGGGGGGGGG